TTTTGTTCAATATGTATAAAGGTACTCCGATCTCAATGGTCTGGGATGCTAGCAAAGTGTATATGAGAGGTATTTTGATTTCTATGAATAGTGCTTATAAGAGAAAGCAAGCTCAAAAACGAAAAGAGCTAGAGGAGGAAATTAAATTAAAAGAACAGGCTTTTATTTTAAATCCGCTGGATAATAATTTAAAAGTATCTATAACTATGCTTAGGGAACAATTTAATATGTTAATAGCAGACCAGACAGCAACGAGTTTAAGGTATATGAAATATAATACATTTTGTAATGCAAATAAACCTGGAAGGTGGTTGGCCTACCAACTACGAAAGAAGCAGAAGTTAAGAATTATAGAGAAAATAGATTATAATGGTAAAACGACATCTCAACAAAATTTGGTTAAAAAGAGTTTTTTGGATTTTTATTCTAAGTTGTATGCTTCTGAAAAAACACAACTTGCAGAAATAGATAAGTATTTACAGGAGGCACATTTTCCTAGGCTGTCAGATAATCAAAGGGAAAAAATGAATAGTTTAATTACATCTGAGGAGATTAAGGGGGCAATTAAACAATTAAAGATTGGTAAGGCACCAGGTACAGATGGATTTACAGCAATTTATTATAAGATGTTATGTGAAGAAATGATAGAACCATTAAAGTATACTGTTTAATAGTATCTTGTTGGGCAAAGAGGTACCTCCTACTTGGAGGACTGCTTTTATATCTTTAATACCAAAGGAGGGTCAGGATTTGACACAACCTAAGAATTATAGACCTATATCTTTATTGAATATAGATTACAAGATCTTCTCAAAAGTATTGGCAAATAGATTAATGCAAGTGTTGTGCCAATTGATTCATAGTGACCAATCTGGATTTATAACTGGAAGATATATGAAGTATAATGTAAGACAGATTATTAACTTAATTGAATATTTGGATATGAATAACCAAATTCCGGCCGCTTTTATATTTTTAGATGCTGAAAAAGCATTTGATCAATTGGATTGGGGGTTTTTGTTTCAGGTTATAGACAGAATGAGTTTTGGGGAAAATTTTTTGTCTGCTCTTAAGGCTATCTATCAACAGCAATCAGCACAGATTATAGTTAATGGGGTGGTGGTGGTAACAGAAGCATTTAAAATTGAAAAAGGAACTAGACAAGGATGTCCACTATCTTCATTGTTATTTGTGTTAACAATGGAGATTTTGTTAATTAAAATTCGTGAGTCTTCTATAATAAAAGGAATTAAGGTTAATAAGATTGATTATAGATTAAGAGCTTTTGCAGATGACTTAGTGTTAACATTAACTCAGCCGACAGATTCGGTAATTGATTTGGTTGAAATTATTGCACAATATGGGAAAGTTTCTGGTTTTAAGGTTAATTGTAACAAGACTAAGATATTACCGAAAAATATGTCTAGGAATGATAAAGATATGTTAGTTACACTCACAGGTTTTGAAATGGTTAAAAAAATAAAATATTTGGGAGTTTATATTACAGCTTCTAATGTCAAATTGTATAAGAATAATTATGAAGCTTTATGGGTTAAGGTGCAAAAGGATTTAAATGATTGGAAAAAATTGCAATTATCTTTGTTGGGAAGAATTTCAGCAGTAAAAATGAACATTCTTCCTAAATTTCTTTTCTTGTTTCAAATGATTCCTATTTTAAAAAAAGATGCTAATTTGGAGAGATGGCAAAAGGGTATCAACAAGTTTATTTGGGCGGGCAAGAAACCAAGAGTTAGGTTCAAGATTATGCAGGATATAAGGGAACGAGGAGGACTTAAAGTCCCCAACTTAAAATTATATTATGATGCGGTGGTTTTGACATGGATTAGTGATTGGTTAAATTTGACAAATAGAAATATACTTTCTCTTGAAGGATGGGACTTGTTATTTGGTTGGCAGGCATATCTAATTTATGATAAAAAAAGTACACAGAAATTTTAAGGCTCATATTTTAAGAAGTGCTTTACTTCGAGTTTGGAAGAAATATTATTATAGATTAAATTATAAGATTCCTATTTGGGCAATTCCAGGACAGATAATAGAGGGGATATCTAGGGGAGTTAATTTGGATAAAGTTTCTTATAAGGAACTACTCTTTCCGGTAGGACGAGATTGGCAACTTAAATCTTTAGTAGATTTGAAACAAGAAAATATTGAATATTCTTGGTTTTATTATAATCAATTGTTAATGAGGTGGCATTTGGATCAAAAAGTTGGTATTACATTACAGGATGTAAATTTGATGAAACAGATTAGAGATCAATCTCAAGCTCATATAAAAAGAATTTATAGTGCATTGGTTGAATTGGATTCAGAAACAGAATTGGTGAAGGATTGTATGATAAAATGGGCTCAAAATATACAAGAACTGATCCTACTGGAAACATGGGAGACAATTTGGACTAGGAATGTAAAATTTACTCAAGCTCAAAATTTAAGAGAAAATTTTTATAAAATGCTTTATAGGTGGCATTTGGATCCTCAAAAATTGTCCTGCATGTATCCTAATCTACAACCTAAGTGTTGGAGATGTGGAAACTTAGATGCAACTTATTTTCATATGTGGTGGACATGCAGGGGGGTAAAGGCATTCTGGATAAAGATATGGTGGAATATTCAAAATATTTTTAAGAAAAAGATAAAGTTTAAGCCGCAGAT